GAACATTTGCACTTTCTTGTAACTAATATAAGACATTTATAATGTTATAATTTTAACTGATTAGAGGAATTAATTGGTATAAGATCATTTGTTTCTTAATTTTTATGTTTGTTTCCCAATTTTAAAGTTTTAATATTTTTCTACTACCTTGAAATTTAATCAGAAAGGTAGGATAAAATATACTTTAGGAAGGTGATTATTTGGGCCTGACTGGAAGTGTATGTGTCTTAGGAAACAATTAATACAGGATATAATTAGAAAATATTGAAAAATTTCATATAAATTAAGGCAATGAATATCATGCTCAACATTTTACACTACAATGAACTACCAATTTTAACTGCAGCTTCATTGTGTTAAGTACTGTTAAGCAGACTGTTAAGTACGATGGATTTGGCAAGAAGTCACCAAATGTCCGCGGTTTCTGCGTATGGATAACTTGAAGAACAGGGTGAAAAACTGTGAAAAGGTCCTTCTAGCCTTGCATGTGTTCTCAAGCTAGCTTGTCACGAAGTATTTTCCTTCATTAATGATAAAGCTACATATATCTACTTAAATTTATTATGTAATTGTACTATCACTATCTCTTTTAGTGTTATTTGGTTGCCTTGATATATTTTCTGAAGATATGAAAACATTCAAAATGTATTCCAATGCATATTAATGCTAATTAATTACATTTTTATTTTCTACAAATGGTTTTAATTTTCCCCCCCTTTTAACTGAATCTTTTGAATTTGATTAAGATATCTCATATATTTTTAAAATAAATTTTCCTATGATGACTAGTTTTAAAAACACTTTCTGACTTTAGAATTAACCTTCCCCCCCCCCCCCCCCCCCCCGGCCAAACAAAGAGGCTTACTTTGCTTCAGGGGAAAAAAAAAAGATTTATTTAAAATGCACTCCAGTCTAAGAGGCCGACATTTTTAAAATTTTATTTGGGCATGTTTTCCATCCAGTGGGATTGTATGAATTTTTCGTAAATTACTCAGGGTGTTTATAGTCTGCTATAAAGCATATTTTTAATAAAAATATCTCAAACTGCATAAAGCTAATTTAGGAATCCTACTTTTACTGTTGTTAAAATTATTTCTTACTGATAATTGCACCAATCAAAGAAAAGAGTTAAATTTAGAAAATAAGGCACTTTCCCTAGTAGCACTCAAGAAAAAAGTTTATTGTCAACTGGGGAAAGAAGATAAATGTAGCTGACAATGGAAAAGAAAAGGTGCGACAATAATTTTGAAGATTTTCCATATAGCCTACAATTGTATGATTTCATAATTTAATTACTGTGGATATTTTGAAGAAATAAACAGATATTTCAATAAACACATTCACAATTTGAAAATGCTTAAGTGTATTGAAATAATTAATAAATTATCAAAACTCTATTATTTAATATGTATATATTCCACATTTGAAATTCAGTGTATATATATATATATACACACATATGGCAAAAAATGTTAAATATAAAGCATAAGTTAAATTAGCAACAGTCCCTTAATGCTTCTCCTCTCTATTCTAAAAACAGTAATCTTTTTTTTTGCACTGCATCATTTTGAGACTACTCCATGTCATATTACTCTTACATAATGCTGAGGATGTAAACTAAATGGAACTAAAACAGCCATTAATAATTTAATAATTTAATTATTATTTATATTAATTTTATTAGCAATAGGGGCCATAGCTAAATATTCAGAGCCCAGGCTCAACTGAAGAATTTATGCCCCTGTGTGCCAAAAGTGGAAAAGATTTATTAAAAAATTTCGTAGCATCAATTTGGCACTCCTTGGATGCTGTGCCGGGAAAAGATGTTTCCCCTTGCCCCACCCTAGCTATGCCACTGATTAGCAGCATTAATTATCTAATCAAGTGCACTGAGAACCAAAACTAATTCATTTTGAATTAACGATTTCATTCTAAACGTCACTTGCTTTCTCTACCTCAACCTAGTAGAACTGGTGCTTGCTGCTCTCTTCTTACTGCAAAGCTATAAAAAATGTACACGTTTTTGAAATAGGCATCAGTGAGAATGGCAGGTAGTTTGCGAGGGTGATATGTTAAATGAAATAAAAACTGCATATTTAATCTGCCTCTGCGGCCAAGTTTGCTCTTCATCCTGCCTGTCTGCTTGCCTATCTACCTAGCTAGGTAGCTAGTTAGTTAGTTAGTGAGCGCACATGTGTGTGTGTGTGTGTGTGTGTGTGTGAACAATAATTGTAATGTCAAATTAAAAAATACTGTTCGCATTGAAAAATTAATCTTTATGGTTAAATACCTGCAGACAGGATAAAAATATTTCTTAAATAAATTTTTATATTTATATTATGTTTTTAAGAGCAGCAAACAGAATAATAATTTATAAACAGCAAACATATCTTAATGTCACGTAGCAAAAGAAATAAAAACAGTGGTCATAATCTGGCACAGTTGTTTGGCACCTTTTTCTATTAACAAAGAATATCAATAAAATCCCCCCCCTTTTTTTTCCCAGGATATTATTTGAAAATAAAAAACACATGAATACAAATTTGTAATTCCAATTTTTTAGATAACAGGTTATAAAATGCTCGGTTTTCAGTAAAAGGGGTGTGTGCCTGCACTTCTTGGCACAGTTTTCTACTGCAGCTCATTCAGTCACACAAAGATATCAATGAAGAAAACCAGATACTACCAACCACTTGTTTCATCTGCCATTACACTCATAGTTTGAAAAGCAAACTTTATGAATAAAAGGTTATTTCTGTTAGTTTCTCCTTTCTTCACATAATGGAATTCCACATATTTGATTTCATTACATTAATGCTTCTGTTTATTTGCAGCTTCTGTTAATATCTTTATTTTTTTATATTATTATCTTTCAGACATTTTCCAGAAGCTGCAGCTTACCAATGAAGATTAATGAGGGGACTTTGTCTAATAAGCTTTTCGATCTGAAAAAAATCGTACTGATATACTTGCCAGCTATTGCTTATTCATCGTCAATGTAAATTTCAATGCACCTCTTCCATTCTATGCATTCTTTAGTTGCAAACTATTGAGATAATCAAATATCTCTAATGCTGTAAACTGATTTGAGATCTCCTTTCAGAATAAGTTAAGGAAACGCAGATTATAGTGTACAGATGGGAATTTGAATATTGTTGCTCAATAAAACTCAATCTTATTTTCTGAGACAATAACAGCTTCAAGTATTTAGCTTCCAGAAAGCATTTCCATATTTATTACTTTGAATTACAACAGCTATAGTTCTATATAATACTTCTGGCTACAATTTGTTTTCCCAAATGAAATAGATTTTTTTAGAATATTTTTCCCTGTGCTTCTTTCTGCAATTAAAATAATTTAATACGTTTGTGGGTTTGATCCACACGCATGGATTCAAAAGGCATATTTCTATTACCCACTAGGGGCTCTGACAAAAAGATGGTAATTTCAAGCTGGCACATATTTAACCACTGTGTCTAGTTATTCCAAAGTTAATTTGGTCAAAAATAATTATTACATGTTAACAAGTGGTTCATGAACAGAATGCTTTTTATTTATTTCGAACAAACTTGCAGTGTGTTTTGTGGCTATGTTGGTGACTTCACGATGTTTTATTACGAGAATATACGAATTTAATGGCATGCCTCTTTTGACTCAGCATACAGGCACCTATCCACATGCACATAAGCTAGTCTGATCTCTGTCAAGCATATTAGGTCAATAACTCAGCCAGTTTTAAAATTTGGCAGGAAATAAGTAAATTAGAGCTTGCAAATTCATTCTCATATCATAGTACTCGGTCTAAAAACCTAGTTCATTTATCCTCCAAGTAAAAAACCGCTATTTCTTCAAATATTACATTCGTGTATTTTTCACATTTCATTTCTTTCACATTTTCTCTATACATATAAATATTCTATTTGCGATTATTAAAATTCACAATTATTTTGAAATTATTTTTCATGTTCATTCTTAACAAAAATACACTAATGAATTAACTTGGAATCATAATTTATCATTTATTTTGCATCATGAAAATATTTAAAATGTACAAACATTCTGAAAAACATTTGTAGAATTTTTGTTGCACTAATTAAAAGTACATATTAAAAAAAAAAAGCTATTATATTTGCATGGAAACTTAAAAATAAGTGATTTTTTAATGGATTAAACAATAAAACATCAGATTTTTAACTCCCATGAAGAAAAAAATCTTCTCTCCTCCACATGGATTGGTTTTATTTGGTTTATTTAATTACGGCAAAGCACACTAGGGCTAACTGCCTAAAGGGAGGGATGCCTTCGTGGAGGACTTTCTAAGGGAAACTGGCTCGTATACGTTACACATGGGGAAACCACGAAAACACCCATGCAGCCAGCCCATTCACGGGATTCAAACTCGGACCGAACTACCAGTGTTCAGCGACTTTACTGCTCGGCCGCTGATGGGAGCGTTGAGACATGGAATCCCAGCCGCTTTGAAGGAAAGGAAGAAACCATGGAGCCGTTTTTGTTTAAAATGACCTCTGGAGTCAGTTGAAATGAATGTAACTGAAATCATACAACTAAAGGAAACAGAGAATGGCGGATGAAAAGTGAAATATCATTTCTCTTTTCCTCTGAAATTAAGAGGAAAAACTAGTTTAAAATAAATAATATATATATACAAATTTTGTTTGTGCTTAGAATTATTATTCATATATCCGAAAAGTCTTTCACAAGAATCATTCTGACTTACAAATGTTTTCACAGGAATGCTCTAATTTTGTGAGGTAGAGGAAACCCTGAGCTCTTTATAAGAACTATTAATACTTTATTAAGCAACTAGATGAAGAGTTGCAGATGGGAATGTTTAATTTTTACAACTGTTCATATGCATAATTTATATTCAAGTACCATTAGATTATAAAACAGCAATTACTGAAATTATTTCATTTTTCATACAAAATTTAATCAAAACTCAAATTAATTGCAGCTTTTAAAAAAGAGAAAACAACCACCTTAGACCAATCATAGCTGACTGCATACGCAAATATTTCTCCACGTGCATTAAAGCAGCATCGTGTTATTGGCTGATCCATTTGTTCTGACGTTCGTAGTTTCGTTCTTGCATCCTTGTCCCAGAAACTGAAACGTCCATCAGAACCAACAGTTGCGAGTGTGCCATGCACAGGATGAAAAGCTATATCATTAACCTTAAAAATATAAGAACAAAAATTACATTCTGGAAAATTAAAATGCTTTATAGTTAGTTTTCTATTCCATTATATTAAAATAAGTTCAAATTATTTTAAAACTCATACAAAGTAGTTGTCACAGAACTAGTTTTTCATTACAAGTGAGCCAAGAAGTAAACAAATTTAAAGACCAATTTTCAAAGCAAACATTTTAGCAAAATTATGTAATTTCAAGCATCATGCCCAAAAAAAATTACCCCCTGCCCCCCCAAAAAAACAGAGGATGATACATGCATCATGCATAAAATTACCCCCTGTCCCCCTTAAAAAAAAATAGAAATAGAGGATGATATAAAAAGTAGTTTGAACAATAGATCAGAAATCCAACAAAATTTGAGAAATATTTTAAACAAAGGTTTAAAAAAAAAAAAAAAAAAAATCAAATAACTGCTGCACTATTGTAAACTAAATTTTTCTGTTCAGTTAAAATGAAAATTGAAATAATAGTACCTCATAATTAATCTTGAGTGTCACAGCTTTTTTGATCTGTTAAATAAGTGTATTAACCAGCATTTATGTATTAAATTTGTATAATTAATTATTTCACTCTGTACTTTCATAAACTTCTATTCATTATGATAATATTTAGATTATTAAAGAAAATGAGGAAAGCCAATATTTTAAATGCTAAGGTAATACAGATCAAATGGCAAAAATTCTCAAGATTTTTATCCAGTCATAAGATTTTTGGTAGTCAATCACACAGGGGTTGAAACTGAAAATTAAACTATCATTTCCATCTGACTTTCTTCCATATGTCAGCAAAATTATTTATGGTATCTGGTAAGAGCAAAAATAACAACTATATGAATCATGCCAAAAATAAACTGCTAAACAAAGTTAAGAAAATGCATAAAAGAAAGTATTAATATAATTACATATTAATTTGATAATTTTCTGTTACCTTAATAAATTAATAATTAAACAAAAAGTTCATTCATCAGGTAATTTTATGAATTTTATGGTTTTCACACCCAGCAAATAAACACTCCAAGAGAAATAGTAATAACATATCTCAAACACGTAAGTCCCAATAAAGCTTTTCAAGCAATTTTTCGGTCCCTAAAAATGACTGTATAAAAATATTAACTATTTAATATTGTGGTCTTAAAAAGGATTCCATATGAAGATTGCTAGTTCTTATTTTTTAGAGGAGAAAGGGGTTTTAAAAATGAACAAAGCAAAACAATAATAATTACATTTTCAGAATTGTTATAATTAAAATACACACATCTGTTTGGATATATGAAAATAGAAAATAAGCTAAAATGTCTGACATACAGCAAAGATGTCTTGATAGCCATTTGAAGTTCCATTAGAACGATGACATTTAAAAGTAAAGTTGTCTTTTGGATTTTGGGGGTTGACATATTGAATAGCAACTCGTCCTTCAACACTACCAAGTGCAAAGCCACACGGAGCAGATTTCTTGTCCAAAAATATTGACACAGAACGATGCTAAAAAAACAAAATAAAACACCAATTTGAATATGGAAAATACATATATACAACTATAATTAGGAGTAAGGATGTAATTGCAATGAAAAAGAATTTACACAACCAAGAACTTAGAACCAAAACCATTTTTTTTAATAAATATAATTTTAAAACTAGCTATTCAAACATACATTTTTTTAAAAAAAAGTTCTGAAAGCAAAGACACAACAAATAAAATTAAAAGATGTAATAGATTTTTTTTTCTTCAAATTTTTAAATATTTAAGAATTTACTCCATTTTTCTCTCAAAAGATATCTATTCCAATCCAAAACTGGAAAAATATATCACTGCAAAACAAGGCAGTGTATAGCAAATACATACCTATCATTTTACAAATAATGACCATGAGCTATATTTTATTTTAACAATTGCAAAGTGGGGGGAGGTAATCAATCCATTTCATTACCTTAATACTAAGCACATTTACTAAAAATTTTTAATAAGTTAACAATAATAGCAAAACCCATAATTACACAGAAATTTTAATTCTACACAGTGTTTTTCCTTTTTTGTTTTTCTAATTACACGAAGCAAATTTTGTCTTCTAAATAAAACAGAATTTTAAGTAAAACTATTAGTTTAAAAAAAATCTTAAAATGTGATCACATTTTAAAACAGGGATTCCCAAAAAGGTTGGTATGAAGCTCTTGAAGATCGATGATGATCTAGGGCTTGATATCCAAATATGCATGGGCAACTGATTGGCAAAAATGAATATAAACTGACTACAAAAAAGGATTATTAGTCCAAAAGGTCCCCCCCCACACACACACAAAAAGGGGGGGGACGGACGGACGTAAAACTTCCCAGAAGACATATTGCTTAATACAAGCTATTTGCAAAATTTAGAAATCTGCATGTTTGAACCAAATGTAAAACTGAAAATTTGAATGTACCAATGCGTCTTACAGAATTACTAATTTACAATATATCACAGTTTAGCAATTACATCAAATATCTTTGATCTTGATATTATACTCTAAGAAGAGCTGATTACATTGGAGGGAAATGTTCAAGCACAAGTTTTCTTCAAAACACACTTGAACACTAAGTTTTGGAATTTAAAAGGCTTCAGAAAAATATGCTAAAATAAAAGTTGCTACCAAATATTGTCAATAACTTTTTTTGTTCTTATCAAGCAGAAACAGGCTTTAGACAAGTTGGTAATTTACTAAAGAAGCAAGAAACAGGTTGAGTGTTTTTGAGGTGATTTAAGAATCAAGTTAAGCATCTTAGCAAAATATTAAAATAATTGCAACACTATATCAAGTGCAGCCCTCACATTAATTAAAATAAAGACTTTTGTGCAATTAGAATCTGTAATTTTGTTTCTGAAAACTTGTTTATATTTGTAAAATTAATAATAATAATAATAAACTAATAAACAATTTTTTCAAAACCTTTATTCCTAGTTAATAATTCTTATCTTAAATTTATTTGTATTATAATTTATGCGGCATGCTGCACATTATAGAGAATAATATGAGGAGGTTGATGAAGAAAACCATTCTTTTCAGGGGGTTGATGCAAGAAAAGGTTGGGAATCTCAGATCTAAAAATACTTATATCAGCTGCATATATACAATAGTATAACACATATATACAAATTATTATATAACATATACTCAACTTATATATAATAATTAAAATCTAGATCATTAGGATACCTGATATTTCAGGGGGGATTCTATTTTCTTAAATTCTTGGGGCTGTCCTTCAAGCTGATAAACAATAATGCCCCTACCAGCTGTTCCTACTACTGCCATGGGATATACCTTTAAAAAAAAAAAAAAAAAAAAAAAAAAAAAAAAAAAAAAAAAATTAACTCGATATATTTTACACAAACATGTAGCATTGCACATATTTTACACAAAGCAAAATTCAAAGACTAAACTGCTTACCACATCTGCACAATAACAACGTTCTGGTAAGTTAATAACTAACATAGGATTAGGGGTCCTTGTGTCCCAAAACTGTAAGAAAAAAAAAAAAAAAAAAAAAAAAAAAAAAAAAAAATTTTAAACCATGTAAAACATCACACTTATTTAAAATCAGAACAATTCAGAATTTGATTTCAACAATACTATACATTAAATTCAATATTTCCTTAAAAGTTTTATAAATAACCAAAATTATTTTTTCAATATGATACATCAAATCTTTTTTAAGAATTTCATATAAATATTAAAAAAAAAAACCATTTTTTAAAACAATAAATTTTGTAAAATTAACTTATGCTAAATTTAGAAAGGATAAAATAATGTAAATAAGAAATTAAAAGATTAATAAATCATAAAATACTAAAATTTTTATTAAACATATAAAGAATTTTGCACATTATTAGAAAATTTTATTCCAAACAATTGTACACCATTTTTATCACATCAAAAATTTTTAATTTGAAAATTTGATTTTCCAATGAATTATATTCTTTCTAAATTCAAATTATTAGATAATCTACAAATTTAAACAAAACCAGATAGCATCATCAGTTAACAATTTAAATCAAGAAAGAGTGAGAAAATGCATCAAAAAATGGGAAGTAAACATTTTAAAAAAGGGAGGAGGGAGACTATGAGATTTAACACTGCTATAGAGACATCCAAATGCTTGCTTACTTTCAAGGTTTTATCCCAGCTACCTGTCATAATACATGAATAATTAGATGCTTTTATCCAATGTACAGTTTTAACAGGTGCATCATGCTGAAAAAAGTATAAAAATTATATTGTTACAATATTTTTTATTAAAAATATAAAATTTTTAACAAAGAAAAGTTAGTTGGCAAAATTTAATAAAGCAAAAATAGATGGTAAGAAATACTGAAGCTAAATCTAATGCTTAAAAGGAATAAACTGCCTAAAAAACAATAACAACAAATAACTATTCTTTTAACACATGCAACAATACATTTTTTTTTCAATAATTAAAAAACATGACTTGAATACAGCATTTGATACCCATAAATAAATGTACAAAAAATAATTTGGCTATTGCAGTTCTTATCTCATTTATTAGTTTAGGCATTATTTACTACAGTTCGTGTGAAAAACTTTACACAGACTTCACAAACTAGCTTATTCACACTACTAATATATTATTACTTTTTAATAAGACACATACAGCAACTTCCATATGCACTTATGAAAATGCATTAAATGCAAATGAAGGCTATCTGTATGTTATTTTCAATAAATAATTATGCAATATTAGGCTGTTCACAATGTAATTTCGACTTTTATATACAGATGGCATTCTATTCTTTTTTGAAGAACTCCTACCATTTTTAGCATTTTGCTCCACTGAACATTTGATAGATGCCACTCCTGGCTTATTTCAAAAGTAAATTGTATGTTATTTTATTTACATCTGTTACTTTAGTGCCAGTCTTAACATCAAATGCAAACACGAACATTATTGCCATATTTAGCTTTTTTTTGAAATTTTTGTTTAGATTAAAAAGCTGCCAAGGCTCATTAAAGATATATGTGAAGTATACAGTATTAATTGTATAACAGAAAACACACATCAAAATTTCATTCTGGTGATTTTTTTCACTCAAAGATGTTCTGGTTGTTCAACTCAAGTCAAAGATGACAACATAAAAGCACTGATCAAAACTGCTAGAAACATAGTTGTATTAGAGATTGCTAAAAAGGTTAATGCAGCAACTAGAGCAGTTCATAAGCATATCATAAAAAGCTTGACTTACATGTTTCACATGAACTGAAAGAGATTCATTTCCTGCAATGCATCCACATCTGCAGTTCATGTTTGAACCACGATAAAATCAACAATTATTTAAATGAATTATCACACCTACTCAAAAGCGGATTGTAAAATATTGTTATTTCAAAATATGGTCAAAATGTGATGAACCTGCTTCATCCATATCCAAAGTTGCTGTCTCTTTAAGTTATTAGTCTCAAAATGGCATTTTGTGATGTTTCACTATAAATGGCAAATTACTTTTTAAATTGTTGCCACCAAATGTTATAGCCCTGTGTTATATCTAAAGAAAATAAATAATGAAGAATGTGCAAGAATGTATGTGTTTTTTGCATTGTGAAAAAACAATGGTACCTAGAGCCGTCAAATTTTGAATTAATGTAATCCTCCACCCAAACATGGGAACCTGAAAACCCAAATTTTGAATTTGCTTTATTAGCTATTTCACATTTTGTAAAACTTTAACGAACTTTTGATTAACAAACTCAATGATTTCAAAGTGAGCAATGGCAACACTGTACAGAAAAAACACTTTTATCTATACCACATGAGACTGTGTATCAAAACTCTAAAGGTATGCAGTTTTTAAATATTTTGTGGTACTGCTGTTGAACTGAATTTTATGTAATTCAGGTGTGAAGAACAGGATAAAATAAATAAAGGTAACCCACAAAATGTTAAAAAAAGACCCCTTTGGGCATAATATAAAATCTAAAAGCTTTCACATTTTATATTATGCCCAAATGGGTGTTTTTTTTTATCAGCAGCATCATTTTTATGGTAAACTTTTCTGATTTTATTTGCCTTCCCATGCTAAATCATGCCATCCTGCTAAACAAAAAATTACTTTTTATTTTGAAGTATATCATGCCCTTAAAGTTCATTTTCCAGCATCTTCACTTTTTAAGGTACTCAGTTATTTGAAATCAGATGTCACTAACAGAGGATTTTCTTCCGTGATCATTGATAAAGCCTTTAAAAATTTCCATTTTGTCATGAATTCCAAATCAGAAGTAATACGAATGACCTTGTCATCATTTCATTTTATCTATTATCAGTTATAAATTATGGGTTCTCCAAAATACATTATGTTTGTACATGAAGGAAACAAGGATAAAATTCCTTACTGTAAATATGATACAACAATTACATAAACACACAGTCATACATGTATAAATTTTCACATATTGTTACGTTTTTTTTCTGACACCAGTTGTTACGATATTTTCTTCCTTCACGTTCGTATGGGGTTCATGTGGATTTGGAGTGAATAACGACAAACAGCGCTTGATGGAATATCGAAAAAACTTTATTTAACAATATTAATCAGGACAGCTCCAAAACACTTTTACAGTCATCGAAGATCTACTATAAACACGCTGGAACAATCAGCGACACAGCCTTCACACTGTCAGGCAATAACGGTGGAGACAGCTTCACTGCAAAGCACCAGAGTACAGCTCCCAACTCTGCTCGGTCATTCTCGGAACTCTCCACGCTACAACTCGCAATGCACTCAAAGACACACAGAGCACAGTTCCCGACTCTTCGGTTCAGTCATTCCCAGAGCTTAACACACTCCTTCAACGATGCACTAACTGCGATACACTAAGTGACTCTTCGATGCACTCAACGACTCACTTGGCACTTGCTGACCGACTCTCAACTCGATTGACTCCACACGGACTGAGTAGCTCGAGACTAACTATCTCGCACTTCTTTCCGTGTGTACCAGCAGGGTTTATATAGTTTTTGGTTTGTGTTCGAGAACATTCTGGGCTAAACCGGTAAGAATTTTTTCCCAAAGGTTCTCCATCCATCCATGGCATATTGCCAATTTTGTCACCAAATGGGCGATTTCTCGCCAAATGTGGCAACTTTGCCTTCCCTTGACGCCACCGCGCCTGGACATTTCGTAACAATATATAATACTCCATTCTCCTCATATTCATAGAAAAAATTAATGAAATAATAATAATTCATGCAATTAAAATTTCTTCTAAAAACGCCACATAATTTATAAATTACGTTAAATGGAAAGTTAAAATTTATATAATACCTGTGCCACAGGAATTGCCTGGTTGCTGTTTAAATCCCACATTTTAACTGTTTTATCACAAGATGCAGAAAATACTTTGGATCCATCCTGAAATTAAATAATCTAAATAAAGCATAGAAAATTGCTATAGTTTATGAAGAATACAAAATTATCAGCCAGACCACATTTAAAATATATCTTTACATTTCATGATGTTTAGAGATGCTTTAAATATAGAGTAGATGTAGAAGATGAAAAAATTTAAATAACATGTAAACAATAAACATTTACTAAATGATTCAGTAATAAGGTACAAAATATATAACATTAGAAATATTTTTTATTAATTACTCTAAAGCATTTTTGAATTCTATATTAAAGTTATAAATGCTTATAAAAGTTACAAATAAGTTCATAAAAATGAGGATATTAAAAATAAAATAAAGATTCAAATTATTAAGAAATGTGTTTATAGATTTTAAATTAGCTTATTTGGTTACACAGTTTTTGGTTGATTAATTCAAAATATTTTTAATTATAAACCTTACTTTTACAAATAGAATGTAGTGAAGCAATCATTGATTGATTAATTTAAAAAATAAAGACCTTATGTTTCGTAAAATAGCAACACCAACTGAGTACTGCAAGGTTATGTCGAAGACAAACATCCTTTGTACACACTGATTTAAAAATTTAAACCATCAGAATAATTTTCATAACTGCTCACAGTTTTCACTATATTCATCAAAGCACTATAATTTTAATTCAAAATCATGAACCATGACCATAATCATTCTGCTAAATCTGCTAAACCCTATCATTTTGCTAAATTTTATACCTGATTCTTAGTACCTGTGATAGGGTAGAGGGAGCTACTTCCTCGAACTTCAAATACGTATCGTATATTCTTATATATAAAAAGCCTACATTTCATGCAATAACAATGTATGCCATATGGATGATAGTATAGCTTAATAGAACAATTAATGGCCTGTGGAAGGATTTTCTTAACAATATTTTGGTACTTTCAAAATATCTGTAGCCCTTCTGAAAAGTCACAAAAAAATATTCATGAGGCAAAGCATCATGTCATCAATATATAATCTTTTGCAAAAAAAACGAAGCACCATGAATGAAGTGGTTGTTTTTGATGAAATTGAATATGTGTATAGCTCATACACAGATACTAAAATAATTATAAAATCACGGTCATAGTACCTGTTCACGGCTTACAATCACCTATTGAATGTTCAAATTAGTAGTTGATCGAACCGCCCCTGGAGGCAATGCATGCTTGAATTCGTCGAGGCAAGGAGTAGCAGAGGTTCCTAATGTCATCCTACGACACATTCTGCCATGCCTTCATCAGATGTCGCTTCATATCTACGATATTTTATGGTGCCAGAATCTGGTGGCCTACCATGTCGCAGATATGCTCGATTGGTGAAAAGTCTGGCGACCTTGCTGGCCAAGGAAGAGTATCAACCGCATGAAGACAGTCCAGAGATATGCGAGCGGTCTGTGGCCTGGCATTATCCTGTTGGAAAATGGCCCCAGGATGACGTGACATGAAGGTTAATGCTACCGGCCAAAGTATGGTATCAACATATCGTTGAGCTGTTAAAGATGTACGGAGGATGACTAAAGATGACCTGCTGTTATAAGAAATAGCGCCCCACATCATCACAACAGGGGTTATTGGCTGTATGCCTTTGTAAAACAAAGGCTGATTGGAACCGCTTGCCCTGTCCTCTCCAGCAGTGCTCCGCAACCTTTTCTCACCTGCGACGCACAAAAAATCTTTCTGGAATTTCGTGGCACACCAAAGAGTTCCGAGTTATCAAGGAAGTGCTGAAAAAATTAAAATGCTGACACACTTACAATCACACACACAACCACACAACAGTGAAATATATAAAAACATTTAAAATAGACATTATTAAGGAAAAAAAATTGTCATTGTGTATTGAATACATGATAAAAAATTGCAAAATGTCAAATACATGTATTTGATTGCGACACACCTATATCCTACTCATGGCACACCGGTTGCGGAGCACTGCTCTCCAGACACAAACACGGTGGTTATCTGCTTCAAGATTGAAGCGGGATTCATCGCTGCAGATATACGATGCCAGTCTAATGGTAGCCATGATGATCGGCTGCAACACCACTCCAGACGACTCCGCAAAAATGTTCGAGGGTAAAAACAAACGTCTTAAAGGCCTTTGTGAGCGTAACCCCTCCTCAGACAAGTGGCATGATATGGGGGACGATACCACGGGAGGTATAGACGTGGCTGTAGTGCATTGAATAGTCAGCAATAATACAGTTGGGATGGTTCAGTCCTGGCCCACCTTGCCTCGCATTTGTGCTCCTTGGCCTTCCAGGGCATTCATTTTGTCGGCAGTTTTCTTGTAGCAACCATTGCTGGCAACATCTTTGCACAGCAGTGCCTGTGCACTATCGGCAGCCTATTGCAATGTATAGACACCCAGCTTCACACAAACCTACAATGCGACCATGTTCGAAGTCGTTTAGTTGCCTGCAAGGTCTTCGATATCGTCGTAATGGCATCTTTAGTTGCTTCTTTACGGAATAACAATGGCAGCAACAAAAAAAGATAAATTTTCAGCCTCTGTTATTGCGCACTAGAAATGCACACTATGATCGCAATTCCTGTTCTTTTGGCTTGAAACTTTGATCATTTGTATGTTCGATCAAGATGTTTTTGCATATGAAATTTCGTCATGATTGCAAAAATTCCTTCTTGGTGCTTCAATTATTTTCCCAAAGGGTGTAGTTACGCAGCAACCCAGGTAAGCGCATATTACATGTTTGCTTTGGCTGGTATGTGCAATGCTCAAATTGATTGGGTGCTGTGTTGTGCAATTTTTTCTTTATTTTTTAAGCGAAAACCAATTCCTATTTATAGGGAAAGAACAATTGTGGAAAAAAAAAAAAAAGTTTCACAAAAAAGGTGTTTTATTTTAAGTGTTTCTGGCTTTTTAAAATTTACTGACTAATTGGTCTAGTATGGAATTCGTAGAGCACCACAATTTAAAAAATGGTTGTTGCCTTTGAAAATTATGTTTCATTCATTAGCTTGATGAAAAATTAATCAGCAACAAGCTAATGAATGCTCTCCAAAGTTGGCAATGAGTTTATGACTTTTCAATGGGGGACATGAATGATCAGAATACACAGATATTTTTAACATCGAATAGACATGATAGAGAGAACAAAATTAAGTCTCAACCATTATGTTTCATTAAACTACAATACCTTTATTCACACCACTTGGCTAATGTTGCCCTCACATAAAACACTTTATCTTTTATAGGAAACTGAGGCTAATCTTTGGAATATGGTAACAGGTAGTTTGGCGACATTTTGGTAAAGCGATAAGGGTTATTAGCTAGGACTTTAGCAGTGTACATGGATAAAATCAAGAGTGTGCGCAATGCCATTTTTGTGCAGTTCTGGGATGATTTTTTTTAAGTGAAAATAGGTCGACGTGTATGTGGATACCATGTATGTGCAATTCTTAAAAATGCGGCAAGCAGTTTGTGATTCTGCACTTTCTCCAAATTTCGCACCTAATCTTCGTCATGATTAAGCACTTTTGTTCCATAAAAGTTCTAGCATAAGCGTAATTCGGCTAGCAGATTGTTGGAAAAAAATGTCAAGTAAAAAAAAAAAAAGCCTTTACTTCGTGAAAACACAATGGCATCCAAACAAAAACTAGCAGGTTGCTGTAGCAGGGTTGGTCACCAAATTTTTGCCAAAAAATCGCCAAGTTACCATAATCCAAAGATTAACCCAAACTGAATCCAGTATGTGGTCATTCAGTATCACTCGTAATATTCATTTTTCAAATGAAACTTGCTTAACAAATTGAGTGACTTAAATTCACTTCCTGTACTTCCTAATAATTTAAATCTTTACTTTCTGATGCTAGAAATGCTTTTGGTGAAGCCTCCAAAACTTTTGGATTATTAAATTGCAGCGTATTTATCATTCATGCAGCATAGTAAGGTCTACTGTAACACAAAATACTCAATCTATGAACAAATTAACAAACTTAGCTATTTAAAAGTCATAAACACATTTCTCAATGCAGCAAACTTTCTTTAAGATTAGCAACCACGGTTCTGAAATCAGAATTCTGATTTTCTGTGGAGATAATCATCTTAGAAAATGTGACAATCAGGAATGGCAGTCATTGATTTGCATAATTTCTTTGCTCTATTCAAATTTTTTAATATGTACTAAAATGAAATACTGAACTAAAGTGCAGTGTGTTGGTTTTATTAACACAATTCCACTGATAAAGTTACCACTTTAGTACAAGGAAAAGTCTAGTCTCAAAATGAATTATCCAGTCACTCAATTTACAATTTTCCACTCAATTTACTTTCACTTTACTTTTCCAATTTTATTTAATAAGATGTTTAAGTTCTTATAAAATACATTATTTGATTTTTTTTTTTTTTTTTTTTTTTTTTTTTAAGAATACAGGGTTTGTACACACTCGTAGAAGACCAACAAATCTTCTGCAGTTTACGCAGTTCTTTAACAATTCATTCTATGACTGCACACAATGGCACACATTCGTGGTACTTAGACTGCGGAGTTAAATTATGTATAGTGTCTTTCCATTGACCCCTTAACTGCCACGGGCGTATATATATGCCTTGCTCAGACGATGCGTTAACTGCCCTGGGCGTATATATATGTCCTTCCAAACTACTATCATTTGCTTTGCGCTGCTACCCATAAAATTATTCGCAAAGCTTTGGAATGCAATACCACAATGACCTTTGATGCAAAAGCAAAGTTCAAAGTTATAAAGACATTTAACAGAAATAGCAATAGAAGCTCCCTAAGGTTATATACTGTGCAGACATAGAAGACAAAAGTTTTAAACTTAACCAATTTATTAACAATATATATAAAAATAAAAAATACAATAAATAAATTTAATCAACAACTGAAACTTAAAGAGTGTAACATTATAAAAAATTACATTTAGTTGACTATTCATTAACCCCAAGGGTTTTTCCTTTAAAGAATATTATACTATTAATGACACAGCAAATATATTACCTGATCTTTGAATACTGGCATTCAATACACGAAAAACATATCACAGAACAAAAACTACGCGATTATACGAATTTCACTTCATTATAAATAGGTCCATGCTTTTGGCCAAGAAGGCACCTGAAAAATTAAACTAAACCTTGAGCACGCTAGAACTGGCAAAAGCCGCTCACTGTAGATGCTCATGAGAGATCACAGCTTGGAATTTATCGCTGCCAAACCACTGAAGAGGTTGCCGCCCACAGCAGTTGCTCATCGGAAATCACAGCTTGGAATTTGACGTCCGTTAATTTTAATTTTGGAAACAGGATGCCGCCCACGGCAGTTGACCACCAGGAACTACAACTTGAGATCTATCCGCCGAACCATAGAAACACAATGCTGCCTACGGCAGTTGCTCACATCGTAGCCACTTTGCAGAACCCAGAAAAAATCATCATGGACCAGAACCATAGTACTTATCGCTGGACCGCATGCATCGCAATAACGTCTTGTAATGAGCGCTGGAACGGCGCACCAAGGAGCAAAGAAACAGGAACAAGAAGGCCTAAGCCATTGCCATGAATTTTGGTTAAGACGAGTATTCGACCCAAGGGCCTTTGCTCCTAGAGCAATGCGAGATACTTATACCTGAAGTACACATGACGTCATCTTATGGTAGCCAATCAGCTGTCGGCACGACTCAACTTTCCATATGACGTAACATCAAGTTTTGTTTTTGCATCTTAATTAGGCTGGAACAGTCCGTTCTTAATACAAACAGTGGTAGTGAAAAAGAAGTAGAAGTATTTGCTATATCCCTTTAAAATAAGAACTAAACCATATGTAAAAGTTAGAATTATTTCAAAGAGGTGAGATGATACAGAAAAAGGGTTAAAATAGGTCATATTTACCAACAACCTTGACAAAGTATGCAAAAGAGCATACTATTTGAGAGAAGAGTGGGGAGAAAATAGAGAGAGGGGTGTGTCTAAAGCGGTGAAAGTAATGACTGCGCGGCATTGGCTGATGTTGTTTGAGTAAAACGTATTTTTTTTATTCTGTGTTCTCCATTTTTGTTTACTTTTTGTAGTAGGTTCCAGGAATAAAGAAAGATATAACAGATGTTTCAAACCCATTTATCTTTTTTGAATTATTTTTTGATGAACTGCTCGTGCTTCATATTGTTATTGAAACTAACCGTTTTTGTAGATGAGTATATGAACCAACACCTTGTAAACGAAAAATCAACAAACAAAATTGTGGCTTTCAACCAGCTCAAAAGAAATATATATACGAGGGCCATCCAGGAAGTAGATTATGTTTCCGTCTGTGTCCACTAGGGGCGGGGCTAGCGCGGCCATCTTGGGGTCAGAGCGTTGCGCAGCTCAGTCTGCATCTAGCCGTGCTAGTGAGAGGTTCGTGCTGTGCTCCGTTCAGATACTGTGACGGTTTGAAATGTCTGCGTTAATTGAAAATCCCGTGAGCTGCGAGGTGCGCTCAGTAATAAGGTTTCGGACTGCAAAAAACTGTAAACCGATAGAAATCTATCGGCAGCTTCGTGAAGTGTATGGGGACAACATTATCACTGAAGGTGGAGTGCGTCAGTGGGTCATAAGATTTCAAAATGGCCGAACCAATGTTCACGACAAAGATCGAAGTCGGAGACCCAGCATAGTGACCGCCGAACTTCTCGAAAAAGTCGATGCTAAAGTCCGTGAAAATCGAAATTTCACAATAACGGAACTTTCTTTGAGTTTTCCACAAATTTCGCGAAGTTTGTTGCACGAAATCATCAGCGAAAAGCTTGGTTACCACAAGTTTTTGTGCAAGATGGATTCCAAAAATCTTGACAGAGGACCACAAAATCAGCGAATGGCTGCACAGCGTTGAACTTTTTGGACACTTACCATAAGGATGGTGACTCTTTACTCGATCGCATCGTTACTGGTGACGAAACATGGGTGAAACATGTGAACTGTGAAACGAAATTGCAATCAATGCAGTGGGGGCACACAAGTTCTCCCCAAAAACCCAAGAAATGCATGCAAACAATGTCGGCAAGGAAGATGATGGCGACTGTTTTTTGGGACAGAAAAGGTGTAATTTTTGGTGGACTTCCTGGAAAGAGGCACTACAATAAACTCTCAAAGGTATTGCCAAACTCTCCAAAAACTCAGAAGAGCAATTCAAAACAAGCGCAGAGGAATGTTGAGCTCTAAGATCTTGTTGATTCACGACAACGCCCGGCCCCACACGGCAAATGTCACTCTTGTAAAGTTCTTGAATCTTTTAAGTGGGAGTTGTTTCCTCATCCGCCGTACAGTCCCGACCTGGCACCGAGCGACTTCCACCTATTCCCAGCAATGAAGAAGTGGCTGGCTATGCAGCGTTTTGATGACGACGCACAGCTGCAAGAAGAGGTAACGAAGTGGTTGAAGGCGCAGGCGGCCGAATTTTTCAACGAAGGAATTTCCAAGCTCGTACATCGCTACGATAAATGCCTTAATTTGTATGGTGACTATGTAGAAAAGTAGTATTTGAGTGTGGCTTTCATCTGTATATAATAAAATTTGTTTCCTATACTTTGTTTATTTTTTTATTCCAAAACGTAATCTACTTTCTGGATAGCCCTCGTATTTTTTAGGCATACTGATTTCGCAAAGTATAACACTGAAACCTAATATTACACTTTACTGGTCTAAAAATGAATTGATCGAAACTCCATTTTAGGGATCCTTTTTATTATACTTTTACTCAAAACATTAAATTTTGTACATTCATTTTTTTTCTTTTATTCTTTATTTTGTGAAAGTAAAACTTGCACTTATTTTCCCCCCAATACATCGCATAACTACATGAGCCTATGTGAAAAGCCGTGGCACTGGGAAATGAGTTTTGCACATTTTCCACAGCAGTTAAGGGGTTAAAGAGAACATATTTTATCATAGATAAGCTCTTTCAGATTCCCTGTCCTTTTAAAAATCAGCTAACTTTTAATTACAATTAACAATAAAATAAATTTCTAAAGATAATTATGAAATATTGAAAAGACACTCATATAGGCATCTATAATTATAGCCAGCTTAGCTTTAATTTTTTCAGTTTTGTTAGCTGAAAATAACACAACATTTTTATTTCTTAATGATCCTGTATTGTAATTTAGATTAGCAATAAACTTCCATCACATATAAATGTCACTATCATCAGCAACTAACAGGACACTTATTGAAGGATTTTATGCTGATTAACCAATTATCATAATTTAAAGCTTTTCTATAGCTATTCTTTCTGCAGTCCTCACCAGAATGCAAATTACTTGTACATCTGAGGGTTGAGAGTTTGGATGTTATAGAACTTCTGGCAGTTTCATTTGCAATCAAGTCTTTTTGCCAGCTCTGCTAAAGTTTATTCCAGCTTTAGCCATTTTGCTATTTGACTTTAAAAACACGCCATTACTTCAGCAAGGTTAAGTATGGTAGGTCAGTCAGAAAGTTTGTTGCACTACTGCATAAATATGTTTCATCTAAGACTATTTGGATGACACTGTGTGGCAACACTTCAGACATGTACCTTTATTGCGTGACGTAGCAACTTCCCCCGAGCCAATTTTTCTGATAATCAGTCGCAAACATGTCTCGACAGCTGCAAATAACTTCCAAATTGGAAATGCGTGCAGTGATTCTTTTTTTTTCTTTTTTTTTTTTTTTTTTTTTTTTTTTTTTTTTTTTGTGGGTAAAAAGGTGCAATTGCACTGAAATTTATGGTCAGTTGCATGAAATGTATGGTGAAAATGCAATGTCACATCAAGCTATTACAAAATGATGCAACATGTTTGAGAATGAACGTACAGGTATTGACAACACTGAGTGCAAGGGAAGACCGTCGACTGCAACAAATTCGGAAATCACTGTTCGCATGAATAATGCATTCTTCCAAACAGACACATAACAATAGACAAAATCTCAAATGAACTGGATATTTCTCATGGAAGCATGCATAAAATTATTGCCGATCACCTTAAATTTCGTAAAGTTTGTGCTTGATGGGTGCCACGTCTGTCGACGAAGGAACATAAAGGAAAGTGTTTTGAAAGTGCATTTGCATTTCTGCAACGTTATCAAATGGAAGGAAATGAGTTTTAGGACAAAATTGTGACTGGAGATGAAACTTGGATTCACCACTTCTCACCTGAAAAGAAACGCAGCTCGCTCGAGTGGAAACATTGCAGCTCCCCGACACGAACAAAGTGTCGAACTGTTCCCATCTGTAGGAAAGGTGTTGATGATGCTGTTTTACAACAGAGAAGGCATGGTGTATACAGAGTTCATGCTAAAGGGTGCCACAATTAATGCATTTTCTTATTGTGAAACACTAAAACCATTGAGACAATCACTTAAAAATCAATATCCAGGTAAACTGTCAAATGGCATTGTGGTCCTGCATGACAATGCAAGACTGCATGCAGCAAAACAAACGTGTGACCTTCTGAAAAAGTTTAGGTGGGAAGTATGGAATCACCCTCCTTATAGCCCAGACCTTTCACCTTCTGACTTCCATGTACTTGGTCCCATGAAACAAGAACTTTCAAAGCGACGGTACCATTCGGATGCCGTGCAGCCAACAATGGTTATCGGACATTGGACAGATTTCTTTGCAGAAGACATCGAAAAACTTGTACTACGTCTCAACAAATGCTTAAATAACAGAGGTAATTACATTGAATGGAACTTTAAGATATAAATAAAGTTATTGTAAAATTTTTTCCTGTTTTGTTTTCTTAGGCAATGCAACTAACTTTTTGACTGACCCTCGTATGTTTGTAAAAAGCAACACAAATTCATTCAAATATTAAACATAAAATTAAAAATGATACGCAAAGTTAAAATGATTTAAATATCTATTTATATATAAAATAATTTTTTATTTGATTTTATTTGCATCTCAAGAATTACTTACATCACTCCAAGCTACATCTAGAATAGATCCTTGGTGTGTCTGCTGAGCTTTAGGAATGGTTTGACCAGTATTTTGAACTTCCCAACATCTAACCTACATCAAAGAAATGCATAAATTTAAAAAATAAATTGACCACTATGTATGCATATATATATATATATTTGCTTTTGCCCTTGAGGCCAAGCAGTGCACCTTCTTTCTCATGAACAAAATTCATTCAAATGTTTTGTAATTTTTTAAACATACCTATTTATAAAATGCTAAGCAACAGATTTATGTATGCTCTCTCATTTATAATTAATGTTATACAGATTTGCCAAATTTTACAAACGTCTTTTAGTTTTCATTAAAATCTGTTCTAGTTTATTTGGTAGTTACAATTAAAAGACAATTTTCTTAACTAATATAACATTATTAGAATATTATTAAAATAATCAAATATATGAAAAAATAACAATGGAATAAAACAATTTTAAGTACTTATGTATTATCCCATCGACTGTAAAAGTTGCCTACCATGAAAATTGGCGTAGGTACCGCTCAAGTTGCACTGTTCATTTCTCCAGAATTCTGAAGGAATGGATGCTTCTTTATTCAATAAACAATTATTATTCAACACACTTTGTTTTTGCACTTTGCAAAAAAAGGTTTTTGTTGATTTCTGCTATTTTGTTAGGCCCTCTGATTTTACCAAGCTCTGTTTAGGATGTGCTCCTTGTTATTCGGCAAATAATCCACTGTTTGTTATTCAGTAGACGGCAGGTTTCAAAATTTTAATTATTTTGGTATTTATGTATTATCCTATCAAATGTTGGTGGAAATTTTGGCAACAGTTACCAATTGTTACTGTGGAATTCTAAAGGAAGTGGTCATCCATAACTACTGCTAAATCATGTTACCTGACCAGTCAGTGGGATAATTCACCTTACCGTAGGAGCTCCTTAATGGAATTAATTTTAATGCTAAAAAACAACGACACTCAGCACACAGCCTTGTGACACACTCTTTTTCGAAATAAATTATCAGATATCAGAAAATGTAACTTTACTTTGAATGTTCTGTCTGTGTGAAAACTGGTAGGTTATCATGAAGATAGCTACTATAAAAGTCTTGAAGTATGTTATATCTCCAGGTCTTACCATAGGCTTTCCCATATTAAAAAAAAGATGGAAACTATGCAGTTCCTTTTCACAATGGCTGTATTTAAAAACAAGCTGTTATCAATAGTTGATCAACCTCTTCAAAATTTGCTTTTCTAGAGAGAGAAAAAGGCAGACCATTTTACTCCAAGAGTTGGTAATTAACAATTCTTTTAATGATTTTGCAAAAGTAGCTGGTGAGTGTGATTGAGTGATAGCTGGTGAGATTCTTTAGGTCCTTACTTTGCTTTAATACAGGAATAGCAAAGTCTGCATTATATCTTTCAAGGTTGGAAGTGTCAAAGCATATTATGCCCCCTTCCCCGAATTAAGTTTGCAGGAAATGAATGTCTGGCAGTAGCTGCTGCTGCTAGATACTATGGCAAAAGCCTCCCACGCTGCTAATCATTCTACTAGCTTTTTTCTAGGATAGAAAACAAATAGTCATTATATATCTTTGTCAGTTTCCCCATACCTGTTTGCTCACTGTAAAAGATGTTTTTACAGAAACAAAATTCTTAAAATTTTAAGTAACTGAAAAAATTATAAGCAAATTTACTGGTAGTTGGATTTCAATATAGATGCAATTACAAAGAATAACTGTACAGACTTCGCACTAATACATATGGTTTTTCTCTTTCTATAAATGCCAACAATATAGTGAATTACTTCAAACAAACAATATAATTTGCTCTTCTAACAAATGAATTTATTGAAAACATTAAAAAAAGAGGTTGATATTCCAAATTTTTCTCTGTTCCCTAGAAATTGTTTCATTTTTAAATGGATATGCATACATGATTTCTAGAATTCTAAAGGCTTTTCTTTAGAAATCCATAGAAATTATCATACAAATGTCTTCAAAGCTTTGTTATTTCCTGAAGTAAAGAAGAAAGGTAATTTAGTAAAGAAATAAGCAACAACCAAGCAAATCTAGTGAAGCCACTACATTGAAGAAAACATGAACACACTTGCTTGGAATGCAGGAATGAAGAATATACTGACATATTGCTTAAAGTTTACAATTGGGTGCCCCTTGTTTTTTGGCGATTCTTTTTTGACGCCAAGAAGACAATTTCATGATGGCTGCTACACAAAACCAAAATAAGAAGTTAAAGAATTGCATAAACTCTGTGTCCATGTACACATCGATCTGTTTTCACTAAAAAAAAAAAAAAAAAAAAAAAATCCTAGAATTGCACAAAGTAAGCATTGGGCACAGCTTTAAATTTGTCCATTTACACATCAATCTATTTTTATTTTTAAAAAAAAAAAAAAAAAAAAAAATCAGGAAGCTAAAACAAAGTTAAACTGTTATGGTAACCAGAAATGAGATTTCATCACCAAAATTTTACAAAAAATTGTCGCTGATTGAAGAGGCACCTAATTCCACACTAGAGCCGACATTAATCAATAAAAAAAAGCTTTTAAAACATCTGTTTTGCTAAGATTTTTTTTTTTTTTTAAATTTTGATTTCATGAAAAGTTCAGTTTTACAAACAAACAGCTGATTAAAAAAACCTTTAATGATGCATTCTTATTGCTCACAAGGATAATTTTATACACTTATGATTAGCTTTCATGTGAAGAGCTTTGTTCACCTTAATCCCATCACAATTTTGTTCCTAAGGGTTCTGAGACATCTATGCATACAAATTAAAAAACAAGGAAGTGTAATTTAAAGGACTGTGAAGGTATTTCACAACTAGTTGAAAATCTTATTTCATATTTGGTACACATACAAAAAAAACTACACTTTTTATTTCACGAAAGCTCTTGTTCTGATTTACAAGTAGTAAACAGTTGATTACACACTTGTTAATTTATATTTAAATATAAATATTTGAACATTTAAAAAATCATATTTACCATATAAGAAAATATGGATAAAAAGTGAAACATGGGGTGCATGACAAATTTGACGATTTCATTGTTTGATTACGATCTTAATACGGTAATCATACTTTTTTCGCATTATTTTACTCACGTCCACAACATTGAAGGGCTAATCTTTAGAATATGGAAACAGGTAGTTTGGCGACATTTTGGTAAGGCGATAAAGGTTACTAGCTAGGACTTTAGCAATAATCTGAGAAGTACACAGTTCAAATCACAGATTATTTTGTCTCCGAGAAATGAGAGATCATGAGACATGTAATGTGACATTTTCTGGAAAATTCCAATTGTGATTTTAGCTAATAAGCACTTAGAAACGCTAAAGTGCAAGAATCGCCCACTTATTTGTTTGGCGCTTTTTACAAGAGTAAGAAGAATTGTCAATTTTCTTTGACTTTTTAAGTGAAAATAGGTCGATGTGTACATAGATAAAGTCGAGTGTGCACAATGCCATTTTTGTGCAATTCTGGGATGTTATTTTGGCTGATCTTTAGAATATGGTAACTGGTAGTTTAGCGACATTTTGGAGGCGATAAAGGTTACTACCTGGGACTTTGGTAATAATGTGAGCAGTACTCAGTTCTGATTATGCATTATTTTGTGTGAGGGAAATGAGAGATCATGGGATACGTCATGTGATATTAATGGATGAATTACGGTTCTTTAATCGGAAAAGGGGGGAAATCTGGAAATTTTGTATTTAGCTTTATTCTGTGTTGTGTGAAACAGTGTTGGTTAATTTTTGGATCCCATGGCCCTAACTAAAGTGAATTCGAAATGGGTATTTAGTGGGATTGAAAGGGGTAGTAATAAGTGTTTTTTTTTTAAGTTCGTGCGATATAGAAGTAAAGATGTTTTATTAAGTTATTTATTTTACCTGGTACCTTGCTGTGAACAACTATAAGTATGATTTTAAAGATCCTGAAACAGGCACACATACGCTTGCTTTTTATTTAGCGGAAGAAATAAGAAAAGTTTATCGGCCACGTAATCAAGATCCTGAAGAAAATTAGGTAAGTTAGTATTTTTAATTATTTGAGGATATTATTTTTATGGTATTGGAAAATTGTTATTAGCAATGATTTAGTTTAAAGTAATTAGGATTGTAAGCTAATTTTTATTAATTTAATGTATGTGCTTATTTATATTTAAGTAGTGTTTTTGAATTAATTATATTATAATTAAATGATAGTTATTTTGTGAAGTATATGTTTGTAGGAATTTGGTATGCGTTTTAGTGGAAGTAAAGGTGCATGGAAATAATTTAAATATTTGACACTAAGTATTTGTAACCATTTGTAATGTTTAAGGTATGAATTCGTTGGTGACGTTTATAATATAATAGATAATTTAGAGGTAAAAGTTTTTGGATATTTTATTCATTTTATACGTGGAAATGTTCATATTTGGAAAGGGTATATACTTTTTCGTTATTACATAATTTCATATATGTTCTTTTTAAAGGGTTTAAAGATTCAGAAAATTGTCGTGAAATTTTTCTAATTTATGAGAAAAAAGCAGTGTACATGGATATGGTGAACAGTGTGCGCAATGCCATTTTTGTGCAATTCTGGGATTTTTTTTTAAGTAAAAATAAGTCAACGTGTACATGGTTTAGTGATATTTTAATTAAATGATAGTTATTTTGTGAATTTTATGTTTATAGGAATTTGGTATACGTTTTAGTTGAAGTAAACGTGCATGGAAATAATATAAATATTTGACACTAAGTATTTGTAATGCTTGCGGTATGAATTCGTTAGTGACGTTTATAATATAATAGATGATTTAGAGGTAAAAGTTTTTGGATATTTTATTTATTTTATATGTGGAAATGTTCATATTTGGAAAGGGTATATACTTTTTCGCAATCAGGTAATTTCATATATGTTCTTTTTACCGGGTTTAAAGATTCAGAAAATTGTCATGTATTTTCGTGAAATTTTTCTAATTTATGAGAAAAAAAGCAGTGTACATATATAGTGAAGAGTGTGTGCAATGCCATTTTTGTGTAATTCTGGGATGTTTTTTTAAGTAAAAATAAGTCGGCGTGTACATGGTTTATGTGTATGTGTTATTTTGAAAAATGCGTAAGGAGTATGGTATTGTGCACTTTTTCCCAATTTTGCAGTGAATATTGTCATGATTAAGCAGTTTTGTTAGATAAAATTTCTAGCATAGTGTGTAATTCGGCTAGTAGATTGTTGGAAGAAGTGTTCAGTAGATAAAAAGAAAAGAAACATGTCTTTACTTTGTGAAGACAAAATGGCGGCGGGAAAAAAAAAATAGAGGGTTGCTGTAGGAGAGTTGGTCGCCAAATAATCGCCAAGTTACCATAATGTAAAGATCAACCGTTTTTTTAAGTGAAAATAGGTCGACGTGTACATGGATACCGTGTATGTGGAATTTTTAAAAACGCGGCAAGCAGTTTGCGATTCTGCACTTTCTCCCAATTTCGCACATAATCTTCATCATGATTAAGCATTTTTGTTCCATAAAAGTTCTAGTATAAGCGTAATTCGGCTATCAGATTGTTGGAAAAAATGTTGAGTTTAAAAAAAAAAAAAAAAAATACCTTTACTTCGTGAAAACAAAATGGCGTCCAAAACAAAACTAGCAAGTTGCTGTAGCAGAATTGGTCGCCAAATTTTCACCAAAAAATTGCCAAGTTACCATAATGTAAAGATTCACCCATTGAAGTTTCATGAAAATGCTTGCTCAGGGTTTTAGACAATAAAGATACCTTTAATGACTGAAGGATTTACTCATACGCATAGACTTGCAGTTCGATACTACATTGCGTTACATGACATACGTGTAACATTCAGACTTCCATTTCTTTTCAATAACAATATAAATAATTATAAATATATAACAATATATAAAGGGTTTTCATCTTGGCGCCGTTGCATTTTAAATACAAGAATAAAAAAATAAAGAATAATACAGCTACAATACCTGATTATCCCAACAAGCATAAAAAAATAAAGAAAAATACAGCTACAATACCTGATTATCCCAACTTCCAGCGATAAGGAAATTCTGTGGTAAAGATGCAGGACTGAAAGCTAAACTGCTAATTGAATCATCTGGAGGAGAAACAACTTCATAATCTTTCATTGGATTTTGAGTTGTTGTGGCATTCCCAAAAACACCTGTATTCGTGCCAAAGCCAGTACTAGTACCGAAAAGGCTCATTTTTATATTCTAAAATGTTATGGAAACAAATGAGAAAATTTTTATTATTTAAAAATCTCACTTCCTCATTCTAATATTAAGAATTACAGAACACACCTTATATTCCTGTGTTGAATATAATACTTACCTAATGACTACCAAGTACCAACTAACAAAACAGCTTCTCAACCATTAAAGTGAAACCTTTATTTATTACAAACATACAAAACGAATTTTCCGAATACAGTTTACTTGTGTTGCGGTTAGACTACACTTAGACAGTTAGAAAATTTATCGAACTTACGGCACGAAAATATTTATTTTTTAAAACTATGAAAAAATAATATTAAAGAAATTTAGTATTTTTAACTCCTCACATGAAAGTTTTAAGACAAAATATCTACACTATTTTGAAATGGGAAAGAAAGAAGGACATTATTTTGTGTATTATTCCCATTGAGTCTTTTTGAAATTATTGTTTTACACTCATTGAGCTTTTATAATTTGTATGATTTTGTGATGTTATAAGATTAATTATCTCAGATTTCGGTGCTAAATTAATCAAATTGTTTATTTTTAGTAATTATAAGATTGGTGCAGTTACTCTTTAAACCCGCTTGCGTTAGTCACGGAAAGATCAATAGGCTCAATAAAAGTGAATTAGGAATTCACTGGGAAAGACCTAGGTGTTTCATGGTTATAAACATGGAATTTATTTGCAATATTATTATATTAAATCAATAAATATGAAAGTAAGGACGTATTCTAAAATTTTAAGCTGAATGAAAAATCCACTTTTTAAATTTGACTGATTCGGGTTGCATATTACTCATGGACATTATTTTCAGCTAGTAACAAATTAACAACTGAATTTTGTTAATCTAAAAAAAAAATATAGAATTTTGCAATTGTTCTTTTTTCGGAGCTTCAAAATTTTGAAAAATTGTCTAATACATGAATGGTATTATGGGCAAAATTCAACGTTCAAAATCCACGATTTTCCTAAAAAATGACTTTTTGCATTACTCTGAAAGCAAACTGCAATTACATGAGATTGAGACATAAGTTTTTAAAATAAAGTTTTTCAACAAAAATTGGAAAGGAAACTATCATAAATAAAAACAGGCATTTATAAACCATTATGTTGCATAGTGCATATGAAATAGAAATCTCAATAAACTTTTGCATTTAAAAAATATATTAAATACTCTCCTCTTTTTTTTTTCCCATAAAATCGTAATTTGGTCTCCCTTTCAGTTAGTTTTTCATAAGTTTTTAACTGATGATTATGCTGTTTTGTGGGCTTGGTCCTCAGCGTGAGATAATTTGATGCTGCGGCTGGGAATAACATTCCTAACATTCCAAAGGGTAGTGGGTAGTTTTTACCGTCTCCATTGCTATGGTGATGAAGTTTAGGATTTCGTAATACGTTTGTGTATAGTTGTAGTACAATGCATGATATTTTTGTACACATTTGCTTCGTTGATATAGGTGATTTAACTGAACGGTAAGTTATCAGATATGCCATGTTCATATTATCGTTGTAACCAATTGATTCAATTAGTTTTAGAATAAATTTTTCAGACTGTGAATAAGTGTATGAAGGAAACATATAGTAGTAAATTTCAGCAATCAACAGTATTTATTGGTTAAATTAATGCACATTTTGTTAAAATGAGAAATTTCATAATTTATTTTTCTCTCTGCATTATTTTTCAAGAAATGTGTACTGAATTTTAGCTTATTTGATATGAATATGATATATCGAGTGCTATTAAAATTAATGACTAATTTTGAGAATTATATTAATTTACTTTGTGACATGTAAGATTAAGTTTGCAATAAAACGTTCACCTAGGTAATACTGATGTACAACAGAAAGTATAGCTATTACCCATAGAATATTGAAAATTATGAGAAATAGTATTAAAAAATAGGCTAATTTGATAAGGGTTCACTTATTGAATTTCTAAATTTGAAAAGTTGGTTTCTGATAGAGTATTTTGTGTATTATCTCAAATTTAGACATTTAGCCCAAATTATTGTTATTTTTCATTGCCAAACATTTAATGGGAAATGCTTTTTTTCAGCAGATTTTGTAATATTGCAAGCTAAAAGATGCTAGATTGGTAAGGCTGGATATAATGTTTCAGTTTGTTGAAACTAATGAAATTATTTTATATTTTGTAGGTTCAGTTCTGCCTGGTGGAAGTATTGTATATAGTTAATGGATTCAGTTGTAAGTAGTCTCTTTTAGGTATAATAAAATAAAAAATAAAATGGCTAATTATATGCAGCAATCAATTTGTTGTATAATTTGATTATTTGCAATGTAAAACATAAAGTTGTAGTTAAGCTTTCAGTTATAATTTTTATGGGTACTATTCCGTTTTGAGGACCATAAAAATCGCCAAACTATTGCTGATGCCAGTGCTGCTAAAAATAATTAAAAACGCAAGAAACCCTAACACAAGAAAGAAAATGCTGTAATAGTAAACAACTATCTTTATTATAATAATCTATATAAAAAAGGCTAACATAACAGAATAAAAGCATAAGAGTAAATAACTATTTCAGATCATTATTATAATTTATATATAAAAAAATCTGTATACACCACATGACTTCCTTGTATGAAATATTAAATTATACACAATTTTCCCACATTTCATTTAAACATATTGAATTAACAATTAACGAATTTTGAATTAAATTTACTTCGTCGATAGTGCTTAGACCACAATAGAATGAATGCACCCTTTAAAGTTCACTATATTTATTTACCATAGCGACACTTCAGTGCTACGTTCATTTTACGACGGCACAAAAATTATATGATCTGAAGAATTACCGTAAGTTCTTTTCAAATACTATAATAAGTCTAAAACGATACATAAAAGAAATTAAGCAAATTAAAAGAAAACTTTTTCGCAGGCGATTCAGCGCCGCTTACCTAATGCGTGTGCGCTACTAATTAATTCAATTGTCACTTGGCGGCAAGGCAAAAATATATAAAATTCAAAATATTTTCATTAAAATTTTACAGCTATAGAAAAACATAAAACACCAAATACAGTTAAAACAATTAAAAAATATTTTTTACACTTAAAGTTACAATTTCTATATAAAAATAAGCTAATAACTTAAATGTTAATTCCATAATGAATTAAGAATAATTTAATTCGCATGCGTTTGCTAGTTTTGGCGCTTTTGCACATACATTTTTGCTGCAATTTTTTTACGGTCCTCAAAACGGAATAGTACCGTTTTATGAATTACAACTGGCTTTTATTACCTTTGGATTGAAAATGAACAAAAATACAAAATTTGTTCTTCCCAGTTACCAGTAATATAATTTTGTACAGTTAAAGTTGTTAATTCGGTCACCCATAATCCGGAATGATCTATAATCCGGACCTCAAAGCTACAAACTTTCTCACATGCGTCTCGTTGATGCATGCGCGTAAGACTTTTACGGCTGCGAATATGTGTGTGCGCATGCGCGAAATACGCTTACGAATGCGCGTTTAATTTATAATGAACGGTATAAGCTAAGCTAAAATTATCTAATTCAGTTAATGTTGCAGATTGCATTGTTCCTTAATCTTTGAATTGGATCCGGCTTATTATTTTTTGCAGACTGTTAGAGCAATTTTATAAAAGTAATCTTGAACTTTCGATTATGTCAAATAGAATTTCCGATATATATTTTACTAACATGTAAAGGATCTACAAAGCGAAAGTATGTTTCGAAGTCCATTAAACAAAAAGTGGAATTGCTGCAAAAAATGGATAAAGGCATATTCTTTGTTTATCTAACCATTCCGAAATCTTAATCAATTTCACGCCGCTCTGCGTCGGGGTGGTGGACGCAGTGGCACGCAATGACTTGGAAGTTGATCTGTCAGCACTATCCTTATCATCAGGGCAGATGTTTTTATTTTATTTGGCTTATAATTCCTTACTAAATGTAGTATTTCATCTCGATGTGCTCCATCTTTGATATGATTTAATCAAATTTCTCTTCATTATAAATTTGCTTCCGATAGCGAAGAAAGTGACACAGAGGTTATTGAAAACGAAAGAATTTCGATTGACAAACTAGTTGGTATTCTCGACACAGCAATTATAGGACTTGAACAGCGGAACTTTGTAACTGAACAAGAAATTATGTCTGTTTATAGAATTAAAGAGAAAGTATTATTACATAAAAAACGAAGCAACTTAAACAAAACTTACATTGAAAGAAATGTTTAATAAAGTAAACAAATAAATATTAAGCTTTTTTTTTTTGTAAATTTTGATACTTTTTAGATCATAATTGTTCTTTATTTCATAAATTACGGTTTCATATCTTTAATTTTATAATTTCTGCATGCCATCTTACCAGATTTAAACTGATGATCTATAATCCGGAAAAATCGATAATCCGGAATCGCCGAAGTCCCGACGAGTCCGGATTAACGACTTTTGACTGTATATAGATTTTATTGCCAAATTGGAAGGAAGTTAACTTATTTTTTCAAGTTTCCACATTGTCTTTTTCATGTAAAAGGTTGCGGTTAAACAACAGTAGACAGATACAAAATTTATCGAACTTTATGGTACATAAATATTTTAAAATTTATTTTAAAGAAATCACAAAAAAATTATATGGGGTTTTCCTCCTTATAATTTTTTAAAACCATTCTTTTTATTCGGATTATTAATCTTATCCTTTGAGTTTAAAGTGAATTTTAGGTCTTGATTTTGATAGAATTCAAGTGTCAGTCTGAATTGAAATATTGAAAGGGATGACTGCAGATTTTGACAAATTAATGTTATAAACTGAAAGTAATGCAAATTTTTATTTTTTGATTTACAATGAAATAATGGCCATAAATTTCAGTTTAAATTGAAAGAAGTGTATGTTTCCCCTTTCTTCTTCCCTAAAAGGCCAAATATTTTCAAAATATGGAAAATTTTAAATTTCTGCCATGCTTTTTCAATTTTCGGTGATAAATTTATTTACAAGTAGTAATTCAAATAAGATTTTTCTCCTGGAAGTGCTATAACTATTGTTTTCAATATATAATCATCCTCTCTCCAATTAAAAGAAAATTGGATCTTAAGTATTATTCCATCAATTGTGAAACTGTCACCAAACAGCATGATTTAGCGCCAATTATAGATAAGATTGAAATCACAACGCACTCATAATATCTGTGTTTTCATTGACCCTGATGATTCTCAGTAAACCACCTATTGAATTTTATGAATAAGGATATAAACCATTATTGGTATATTTTTCTTGCATTTCGAAAAATTAAGTTTGAGGTTTGTTTGTGACTGCACTCTGGCTCATTTACAGCTGGTCAAGATAATTAACATCTGTTAAATGGGGAAAAAATAGCTAAATATGGCTGAAAAAACAGTAGCAGATTAGAACAAACGCCTACTGAAAGCTTGTACTCATAGCTTTCTAAATAGACTCTGGTGACATCGGAGAAACTAACAAAATAGTAGAAATCAATGAAAGCTTTTTTTATGAAGTGCAAAATTGAAAGGAGTTGTATACTTCCACAGTAATGGCTGTTTGGTAGACTGTGCAGAGAGATTAGGGAATGTTTTATTGTTAGAGTTGTAGATAGTAGTATGGCTCCAAATTCCGTAGGAATGTTTGGCGTAACTTTAGTGAATTTCCACCAACTTTCACAGTCATTGGGATAATATATATGTGCTAAAAGGTTCAATAAGAAAGGTGATTTCTGCTGTTTCACATTTATACATGGACATGCTGTAACAGAGAGACAGAGTAGTACGTTTTTGTGTGTTAAATTTTTCTAATTATATGTGGGTAGAGTAGACTTTAAGGTACCGCTTATATTATGGCGAAGTTGTTGTTTGATTTATTGCCAAGTTGTTATTTCATTTATGGTAGCCTGCGTAGTTGAATGTTATGGAAACCCTATTGTGACGTAATCGGGTTCATGATTCTGGGAAATTTTGAATCATGGGATGTTTTGTAAGCGTTTTTGTGGTGTGAATTGATTGATTTGTTTGATTCTTTAGACGGTAGAATGGCCGAATGTAATAAGATTAATTTGAAGTTTCTATACGATTTGGAGCAAAAGGGAAAAAGAGGTTTAATTGACTGGTGTGTAAATGAAGGTTTACTTAGTACAGTCAAAAGTCGTTAATCCGGACTCGTTGGGACTTCGGCGATTCCGGATTATCGATTTTTCCGGATTATAGATCATCAGTTTAAATCTGGTAAGATGGCATGCAGAAATTACAAAATTAAAAATATGAAACCGTAATTTATGAAATAAAGAACAATTATGATCTTTATTTGAAATGCCTATCATCTTTATTTGAAATAAGATTTGATCTTTATTTGAAATAAGGGTATCAAAATTTACAAAAAGAAAAAGCTTAATATTTATTTTTTTACTTTATTAAACATTTCCTTCAATGTAAGTTGCTTCGTTTCATGTGATAATACTTTCTCTTTAATTCTATTAAACAGACATAATATCTTGTTTAGTTACAAAGTTCCGCTGTTCAAGTCCTATAATTGCTGTGTTGAGAATACCGACTAATTTGTCAATCGAAATGTTTTCATTTTCAATAACCTCTGAGTCACTTTCTTCACTATCGGAAGCGAATTATAATGACTAGGAACTTGATTTAAATCATATCAAAGACGGAGTGCATCGAGATGAAATACTACACTTAGTAAGGAATTATAAGCCAATAAAATAAAAACATCTGCCCTGAAAATAAGGATAGTGCTGACAGATCAACTTCCAATCCGCGGCGTGAAATTGATAAACAGATTTCGGATTTCAAAACATACTTTCGCTTTGTAGATACAAATTACATATTAGTAAATATATATCGGAAATTCCATTTGACATAATCGAAAGTTCAAGCTTACTTTTATGAAATTGCTCTAACAGTCTACAAAAAATAATAAGCCGGATCCAATTTGAAGATTAAGGAACAACGCAATCTGCAACATTAATTGAATTAGATAATTTTAGCTTAGCGTATAACTCCGTTACACCTTAAACGTGCATGCACACATATTCGCAGTCGTAAAGGTCTTACGCGTTCTCGTAAACGCCTGTGCGCATGCGTGAACGCGATGCATGCGCAGAAAGTTTGTAGCTTTGAGGTCCGGATTATAGATCATTCCGGATTATGGGTGTCCGAATTAACGACTTTTGACTATAGTCATTATAAGTGTCCTGTATG